AGTTAATCCAAGGAGGCATCTCCCGCCATCCCTCTGCAGCCTGTCCCATACATCTTCCCCAGCACACTGAGCTGACACTTTCGACTTACTTGCTGGTCCTTTAATTAGTATGTTCTACAAGATAAGGCTGTCCTCCAGATCTCTCCAACATTTTGTCAAAAATGGTCCTGAAAGTCAGCTCCTCAGAGGGGGCTGGCATTCTTCCTAGAATATGGAAATCACGCTGGTCTTTTTATGTTAATTATCTGGTTTTCTTTCTCCTCTGTGGTTGTCATGCTCTCCTCTCAGGGGAATTAGTTTGAAAAAGCTGCCTTTTGTTTTTCGGTTTCTGTTTTTTGGTGGAGAGACTGGCACTTCTCAGACCACAGCCCAGGGCCTCTGGGGAGCTCAAGTGGAGGCAACCTGCCCCCCACAAAAAAAGAAACCTGCATTACTGGCAATCTGGTGGAAGAGAGCTGCCTTCAGAGTCAAAGAACCTGAGTTCAAATCTCACCTGCAACACGTACTACCTGCATCACTTTGGGCATAAGACTTGACTTCTCTGTGCCTCAGTTTCCTCATCTGTAAAATGAGAGGGTCGGACTAGATGATCTCTGAGGTCCCTTCCATCTGTATATCCTCAATCCTATAAATCAGCAGCCCTGAGGGGAGCCCTGCCCAGGCACTGCCCTCCCCCCCCACCCCACCCCCTGCCTTTTTCAAGGCTGTCAGAGACAGCACGGGCAGGAAAAAGCTTCCTCCTGGCTCTGCTTGGGAAGTGGACTCCACCGGACTCAAGTGACATAAGCAAGCTCTGGGGCCAAGGGGTTACCGAGGCAACTGAGAATTTCAAGGGTCAGCGCCCACCTCACTGACAGGCCTGAGGGGCCAGTGTTCATAGCTCCAGAGCAGCCCCCTGATTCTACAGATGGGGACGCTGAGCCCCAGAGGAAGAGAAGTGACTTACCCAGGGTCACACAGCTCCCTTGATCCTGGGTCACGTTCTCTTCTGTCATCTTCCATCCAAGGAAAAAATAGGAATTTAATGAAAGAGAGGCAATGTAACATGTCAGATGGATGTCAGGACTGGAAGGTAGAGCGACCTGGCCTAGAATCCCACCTCAGACACCTACAGGCTGTGTGACCAGAGGCAAGTCGTCCGAGCCTCTGGTCTCTCATCTGTAAAATGGGAGTAATAGCCATAGCACCTACCTCACCTTGGAGGCTCCAGTGAGATACTGTCATTGGATCAGTTAATCAAACAGGAAGCGTTTATTAAACATCTATTATGTGAAAAAGCCATCCACACTCTGCTCCCACTTCCTCTCTTATCAATCTGTTCTCAGTCCTTTGCAATATGGCTCCCGAACTCATCACCCCACCGAAGCTGCTCCCTTAAGCACCAAATGCCCTGGGTCTTTTCTCATCCTGTGTGCCGCATTTGACGCTGCTGACCACCCTGGAGTGCTCTCTCCTCTCTCAGCTTTCATGACACTGTTCTTTACTTGTTCTCCTCTGTGTCTGACTACTGCTTCCCAGTATCCTCTGATGGCTCGTCCATGTGACTACCCCCTAACTGTGGAAGTTTGCCAACACTGTCCTAGGCCTTCCTCTCTCTTCTGACTCTGTCTCTGTCTCTTTCTGTGTGTCTATTTCTGTCTCTGTCTCTCTCTGTCTCTCCCTCTCTCCCTGTCTCCCTCCCTCCCTCTCTTCCTACTCTCTCCATCTCTCTCTCCCTCTCTGTCTGACTCTGTCTCTCTCTCTCTGTCTTTCTCTCTCTCTCCCTCTTTCTCTCTCCTTTCCCTCTCTTCCTCCTCTCTCTT